GCAAAAGGGAGGGATGGCATGGTTGGGCTTAGGGTGGCATCTCTGCCACAGTATAGGGAGCATGAGGAAAAAGGGTGCAAGGGAGCCTGTACATGGGCAGTTGGGAAGTGGTGGGCATAGAATGGCAGGACAAAATGGGGGCGGAGGGGTGGCGGTCCCCTCTGCCTCCCCTGTTATTATTGTCCCCAGTGAAGTGAAACCAAGATTACATCAGTGTTGTTGAATGTAGGGGGAAGGCCCTGGAGTTTAAGCATGTAACCCAAGGAGGCACTGCCAGCATAATCTTGGACAGTCAGGTTGAACAGCCCAATGCATGAGGATGTGTTGTTGGTAGTGAAGCATAGAGAGTTATTTAGGGGCCAGGAGCCATTGAGTGATTCCCAGGAAGTAACTGGGTCCATGGTGGGGAGGCCAAGCACAGAATTAGTTGAATAGAGGGTGGGGTAGGCTGGGGAATGAAGTGATAAGGGCAAGAGTATAGGTGGGGAGGGGACCAAGGCCCAGAGATCATGGGCCATGGCAGGGGCAGGGAAGAGCAAACCAATTATCCAGATAGCAGTGAGGTCTCTGGGTCCTGGGGGTCCCATTGGTCGGTTGTTGATCTCACATCTCTCACTGGAACACATCCTGGCTTTGTTTCTGTCTGAGGAAACACACAAGCATAGCCTCACCCTCTTGTTAGGAAGGGGGCAGGCGGTTGCCATTGCCATGTTATGGGGTCCTTCCATCTCACTAGTGGCAGGGGTGTAGGCCTAGGTATGGTAGCCCAGTGTTTGTAGGCCGGGCTCAAGTCATTTTCATCGAAGGACAGGAAATTAATGCTGAATAGAGCTTTAATTAGAGCCAGGTGCAGGTCCCTTTTAGACTCAGGGGTAGCAAATTTTTGTAATGTTTCTTTGAGGGTCCTATTTGCTTGCTCCACAATGGCTTGTCCCTGTGGATTATAAGGGATGCCAAGGGAGTGGCTGATTTTCCCTGTTGTATTTGCCAGAGGGCATTGGGTAGGAGACCATGCGGGTTAACTCCATATCGATTGAGGGGGGCCTAAGGGAGCAAGGGGTGCACATGTAATGCAAGATCTGCTCAGATGTTTGCATTGAGAGATGGATAGGTCTGGTAGAAGGCGGTGCAGACTGCGAGGAGAAAGGTGAAATTGTTGGTGTAAGGCTCTGGCTTGTTCTAGTAGAGGAATCTCTATGGACATAATAAGTTTATCTACTTTGTCAATTCCCTTTGCCAAGATCCCGGGGAGTTTGGTGTGTGATCTTATGTGGGAGATGTGCCAGTGCCATTGTCTGTTATGTAAGATAATCTGGAGAGCTCTCATCATTCTAGTCATGGGATCCTTGTGGCCTTTTACTCGAGCAAAGGGAAGACATCTGAGGGCCTGAACTGCATACTAGGTGTCAGAGAATATATTGAGCGGCTCAGTGTGGCAGACTTGGAAGATTTTTA